GAATGCACCCGCCCACTGCCTAATGTCAGTCACAGAGGTGCAGACCTGAGAGAACTTTGTCTCTCTTTGGTGACTGAGTAGGCCTTACTCATTCACAAAGGGGGGTGGCATCTGGGTGCCCACTTTATGAAGGGGGTACCCATCTGCAGAAAAACCCCACCTTCTCGCAGACCCCCACAGACCTGGCCCAGTGGTTGTGGGGAAGAGGTCCTTGTCCTCATCGACATGGGAACAAGGTGCTTTTCCAGGGGGTCCCTTCCTGAAAAAGCACCCTCCCAATGCTGAGGGCATGTGGCCTGGCATGGTGCAGGGAGAAGGGGAGAGCTCGCTTGTACCCCCTTTCCTGCCCTACCAGGCTGCTGCTCAGATCAAGCATCTGGTAAGGAGACCCCACACATTTTTTTTTTTTTTGGCGTAAGGTCCTCCCTAAAATTCCTACCAGACATAAAGGGTTGGGTGTGAATTACCGGGTGGAACCACACACTGTTTTTTCTTAATTGCTTCTGTGGACTCCCAGCAGTTAAAAAGTAAACAAACATTTACTAAATGTTATTATTAATAAAAAGGGTCTGGTATGAATTGGGAGGGGAACCCGGGCTGTTTCTTTTATTAATAATAACATTTAGTGTTTACTTTGTTTCTTTTTAACTGTTCAGATCCCATACCAGACCCTTAATCCGGGCAGTAACGTGGCATAGCAGGAAAGAGGAGGATGGGCGAGTGCACCTTCACCATACTAGGCCATATACCCACAACATTCAGAGGGTGCTTTTCCAGGGAGGACACTTCAAGGATATAAACTGGCAGCCAACTGCCATAACCTACAAGAACCCAAGCTAACCAGAATGATCACAGGTAGGGTGGGAGGGAAGCTTGTATCCGGGTTCAACACGTTATCTCACGCTATCAATGGATTCTCAACTGCAGCTTCTTATCCAGACCAAATTGTAAGTATTTTATGACAGTGATCCAGGTTTTCAGTCCTGCAACATTAACTCTAATGATTAGAGAGGTATGAGCAGGGACTGGCTACATCATACACTGTTGGAGGTTTATTTGGAAACATAAAACAAGGTGTAGGGATAGATTCAATATGCACAAGTTTATGTTGTGGGAAGGAGTACAAAAGGAAAACCGGAGGGTGTTTATCCATTAGCGAGGTAGTTGTAACCTTTGGACAATGCTATCATTTGGCAGTTGTACAAGCATTTGTAGGTGCATTGTCATGTAACACAGTAAGGTGCAGAGTAACAGCAGAAGGTTTGCATTTAAACAGGTATAAGGTTACTTGCAGTTGGTTGTAATTCTCATAAAGCTGTTGAGTAGAAACAAAGTGCCGGGAATGGATGTGCTGCTAACTGCTAACCTTCAGGAGAGGGAGAGCAAGGTGTGTAGCAGCCTGACTATGAGAACATCAGGAATAGCAGATGAGGTGAGGAACGGGTTATACTGCTCAATCCTGGTAGGTGAGTCACAGGGAAGGAGATAGTCCGGACGTGTGGAGGCCAATTTCTCAGCATACACAACAATAGTGAGACGTAGAACAACTGAACTTCCCATCTTCTTAAGCCAACAGCTCGTCAGCGGCAGGCAGAGCCAAGTGATGTGGAAGTGCTTGGTGGAGCAAATACGTCTCTCAGATCTGAACGAAGGTGCGTCTCCTTACAGCTTGCCTCACATCTGCAGATCCTCAGCTGGACCTGCTTGCTCCTCCTCACAAACCACCTTCTAAAATTCTTTATACCTAAAAAATGTGTTACAAAGGAATGTAACGCAGAGCGAGTCAACCTTCCTTTTAAATGTTTTTAATGTAACTTTCTTTTTGTTGAAGTTTACACCCGCATGATGTAGATAAAGGAATGTTTCTTTTCTGCACGTTACAGAAGACATGGACTGCAGATCCCACACATTTTAATCAGGGCCGGTGGGGTCCTAATTTAGCTGGCCGGCGACTGCCAGAGGTGCTGCGAGTGTCGGGATCCTCTGGCCGTCGCTGGCCAGCTAAATTAGGACCACACCTGGAGCTCCTCCCACCGGACCAGCGCTGAGTCGCCGCTGCTCTCCCGCACCGAAGGTAAGTGAAAAAAAACATAGCGCAAGCATCGGGGCATTTTGACAAGTACAAGTACTTGTCAAAATGCCCTGTTTTTTCCGCCCTCACCCTGCAGCGCCCTCAGGCGGCCGCTTGCCTTGCCTTGCGGTAGCGCCGGGCCTGATTTTAATGACAGTTTGATAATATTGTAGATTCTAAGGGTGGTGGTTCTGGTGGTGCTGGCAGGGGTGGTGCATGCTAACTGGACGGGGGTGGTGTGGGTGCTGATGGTGGACACCAACAAGGGGGGAGGCTCTGCATCATCTCCCTGCCCAGCTCCGCCTCTGGCCAGTTTCTTGACTGGCTGCCAGGAGCTAGAAAGATGTGAGCCAGAGTGCACCGACCCAGCTACTGGCAATCAGTGATGTCACTGGTTGCTAGGACCTGGACAGGATGCTGGCCAGAGCATCCCAGGTTGCTATGAGCTGGGTGGGGAGATGTGGATGGCCCTTAGAAAGAAGGCAGGAAACACACTGGAAACATTGTGCAGCAGAGTTGGCCTGCCGCACTGCCAACATCCCCATGTGACCCAAAGAGGTGCCACCCGAAGCAATAGCCTCGGGCTGCCTCATTATAAGGATGGCCCTGGTGTATGCACAGTCTTAACAGTTCATCACAGAGAGTTTGAGGAATTAGGGTGGCGCATCTAACATGTACAAGGAGCGCAAACTGTCTCTCCCTCACAAAGCTGACATCTGTTGGTCAGTCTGTGATCAAATCTTTTTCCATCGCATATTTCTCCCGGGATTCCCTCCTAATCTATTTTGCATGCCTATTGTGATAGTTTGGGGAATATAGCACAATGGTAAGCGCTAAGTGACCACTCCTGAAGCCGACATTAACATAAAAAGGACAGTCTTTATTTATTCAAAAGGTCAACAGTCCGTGAACTTCACAAAACAACTTGCTTGTCTTCAGCATAAACAAAGCATAACAGTTCATTGGACTCTCATCAACACATCATGTGTTGGTCTCACTGACATCTGGCTGTCCCATACACTCCCAGTGTTATAGTCCCAGGACTTTCCCTGGAAATACAGTCCTCAGAAGCTTTCCTCAGCTCAAAGCCTTTTAGTATTCACCCCTCGTGGGTCACTGTCCCTCTCTGTCTCCCCGACAGGCATCTCAGGGTCACCGATCCTCTGGGCCTCTCCAGCCTTCCTGGCTGTGTCAGTTGTGTTTACCCACGCAGTTCCTCCTCTGAAAAGGTATTCACATTGTGGAACCTCTTAGCCCCTCTAACTGAGTGTTCTTGGGGATAATGCTGCCAAATTACATTGTGGCATTGCCACACCCTTCTACACTATTTTTAGCATTTATCAACATTCAGCCTCAATATTCATGCAGCTGCCCATGCCCTTATGTTATCTTCCAGTAACATTGCTATTTGATGTGCGGAATTTATTTCCCTGAATGATTTGGTATTATGAACAAACATTGATATTGAGCTCTTGATCCCAACATTAAAATCATAATAAAGGTTAAACAGTACTGAACCCAAGACAGGACCCTGGGGCACACTACTCATAACCTTAGACAAGTTGTATAAAGAGCCGTTTATCCCTACTTTCTGGATGTGACCCTGTAACCAGCTTTGTATTCATGTGCAGTACATACAGGTTCTTCCATGCCAATGGAGTTCAGCTTTAAATAATATATAAAAATAAACTGTTGGATACTCTCAGTATTCTGTAAATAGATCATGCTAGCTTAACAGTATTGATTTTATGGTTTACTGCATGGAAACTTTATTCTGGCGTGTCACTGGGATTCCTGAAGGCAGTTTTTATTTCACTGTATTCTCTGTTTTATCATAATGTTAACAGGTCAAAGGACTATACTGTTTGTTCCACCAAGCCGTCATAGATACGACTGATATATACAGATAGCACTTGCAAACCTTACTTGAAAAGCATGAGGAAACACTCTGTCTTTCTCTGTGCATTGGGAATAACATGTTTTATGGGGGTAAGTCCAAATAATAAATTTTCCAGTCAAATAGAACAAATTACTTGATGTTGTTTTTGTGTCCATAAGGTAGTGATGATCAAATCTAGCGGATTGTCATTTCTTTTTTTCACTACCCTTAAAGTATGTAGCTTCAGATCAGCAAATAATCATACAATTTGGTGCAGATTATGCAGTAGTGTCTGTACCGTGTATATGTACATCACAATGTAGTAGCTCCTGTACTGCATGTTTCTAACTTAGGGTATAGTAGTGTCTGTACTGCATGTATGTATGTTTTGTTTATTATAGATTATGGTGAAGTAGTGCTGCGTGTTCATGGGTTATACTATAGTAAAGTCTGCAATGACAGCATATTTATTATGTCAAGTCTGTACTGGTTGTATATAGATTATGGTGTAGTAGTGTTGTAGGAGACTATGTGTATGTAGGTTATAGGGCAATATTGCCTGTACTGTGTGTAGATACATCATAGCGTGGTGGTGCCTTTATTGTATGTCAATGAGGACAAGGGAGCTCTTCCCCAAAACCCTGGCCTGGAGCTTGTGGGGGATCTGCAAATATCAGCTAATGTGAACCTTTAAGAATATAAGGGACCCCCCCACACACCCCCCAAGTGAAGTATTCTTACATATAAAAAAATACAAGAGTAAATAACAACACCCAGACATCTAACAAGTAATTTATTAGGGAGGAACTGGAGAAAGGACTGTTAGGTGTATAGAACTGGGAACATGGGGGAAAGGGGGGTACTAAAGGTTATGTAGCAATACACCGCATAGCACAGTATCCCTACACAGAATTGTTAGATCTCCCTAAAAGCCCCAACACCAGTGACAATATGGCTGCTGTGCAAGCACTTTTTTTTATACTGAAAGAGGATGCTGAGTGATTCCCAGCTGCCTGCCTGGATCCAGTTGGGCTCTTGCTTTTAAGAAAGCCCAGCACTACCATTTTAATTGTTGACTACCTCAGCAATCTTTACCTGACTGGAATTAAATCATTGTTCTAAAGGTTCCTAACCTTTTCACAATAACAGATTCCCAGTAAATTGCCCAGTATGTGCCTATACCCACTTTGCTACACAAAAAACGTAGGAGGTTATTCACAAAATGGTGATGAGTTTGGAGAAGGCAGGAGAAGTGAACAATCTAGGCCGAAATAGCTGCTTTGGAAAAAAACAAATTCTCCATTTCAGCTCACATTTCAGTTCAGCTATGTTGTCCTGGACTGTTCACTTCTCCTGCCTTCTCCAAACTCTTCACCCTTTAGTGAATAACCCCCATAGCGACCAGTCCTTTGCAACTTCAAATGATGTTAATAGCTTGGTTTCACTAGTCATAGGAGCAAAACAGCTCCACAAACATCATAAGGAATTAATGTTATGTATTGCCTTAAAATAGCAAATCATACATAAACATGCAAACTACCAATATAAATTTTAGCTGTGTGCAATCAAAAAATGAAATGGAGGTCTGGTTACCGACAATATTATTCAAATCAGACACATGAAGGAGCAGAGAGGAGATAACACAAAGATAAAATACAATGTATAATAAAGGAGCCCGAGAGGTGGGTAGGACAAATTGCCCACTGTAATCCCGGGACCCAAGATAATGAGGTGTTAAAAGCTTAGCAGCACACTATCAAATCCCCCATTGTGAAGATATTCCACCAACAGAGACCACATTTTTTATTATTTTTTAGGGTATCGTTAAGAATAGCCATGAGCTTCTCATTGATCATAGTACCTGTAGTTCTTTGTTTGACCTCTCCAAAGTTCAAAGCAATTTGGAAAAAAAGAACTGATTTTTTGTACTGCCGCACTGCAAGGTTAAGTCCTCGTTTTAGTCTAGGGACAAAGATCAAAAAAGATATCCTTACCTGATCCATGGTCCCATCTGGCTGCTAGACCAGTCCCCAAAAAACATTTTCTCCTCCAGCTCTAATAATATCATCATGTCTAATGCAGGTCCATTAGATGTGAGGAGACAGCAGGAGTGTGTGTGTGTGTGTCTGTGTGTATGTGTGTGTGTGTGTGTG